TTTTTAAGACCCTACGGACACCCTTGTGCTGACAACTACTGTGATAATCAATGAGTCATTTAAGTCATTTAAGACCCAACAATTACTGCTTCCAGCTGCTCCAGCGTGAGAATTTGTTTTCCTCTGCTTTATATCATTGCAAATGGAACATGTTTGGGCTTGGACTGTTTGAAGACATTTTAAGACATTGTCTTGGCCTCGTAGAACTATTTCTGTATGTAAAGTAACAATTTGGGAAGTTAGATGAGCATTTATCATTACTTTGAACTGACAAATTCATGATGAATGACATAATTAAAGTGTGACAGTCAAAAAACAAAAACCAAAAGATATTTAGTGGCTTGAGTTTATAGAAAAAAACAAAAGTGGATCTCTATATATATATCTGAATATATATATGCAGATATATATATATATGTATATATATACACAACAATGCAAAAAGGTTTTCAGTCCTAACTGGGAACCCTTTTGCTCCCTTTTGCTCCAACTTTTCCTTGTGAATCTGTAAACCGATATATTGGTTTAGCATTACTATAAGCACAGGGAACACGAGCTGTGTGTATCCTAACACTGCCACCCCCTCCCCAAACACACAAACACAGCCAGCCACCCCCCCCCCGCTGTTNNGCTGTTATCTAACTGATAAGCCAGCCTGCTTTGCTGTACTGTCCACCACCCTGCTCCCTCCTGCTCGCTGCACACCGGCTCCCACTGCCACTCAGCTCCACGGACACATCAACAGGTAAGTCAGCAGCACCTGCTACTCCACAGCTATACTCCACACTGACTCTACATCGGCACTTTATTACTGTTTGTAGACAGTGTGGCTGTTTGTCATCAAATATTTACATGTCACTATCTGTATATCTGGCATACTTTAGCTTAAAAGTCTTTAAACTGAGTTATCCATTTGAGGAGGTTGAAGAATATGGGTGGTTCATTCGTCAGTCAAACTAATAAGAACTGTGTTCAGTGATACGATCATTTAGAAGTAACTGGCTTCTTCTCTAATTTAAAGGCTGTCAATGGTCAGCTAAACCTAAAAAAAGCAAGTTTGTGCAGCAGACTATTCCAGTGTTTTCTACAGCATATTTACCCTACAGCAAAACAATATAGGCTGGCCTGTACTGCTAGGTCTGCATTAGCAATAGAAGGGAGGACAATGCACCAACTGTGTTGAGCCAACAGTGCTTTAGAAATGACACCAGTGAGGCTTTACTGTGTGAC